CTCTGATCAGGACTTTCGAGCAAGAGCCCTGCTCCTACTTCGTTCTTGTTTGAGGGGCCATCCACATACAAAGTCCACTGCCATAGGTCGTCGAGCTTTGGCTTCTGCTGCTCGATTTCTTCTAAGATATTTGCCTCTAGCGGGCTTAGTTCCCCTTTTGGCTGATAGGAAAATTCTGATATAAAATCTGCCAAAGCCTGACCTTTGATTGCCATCCTCAAAATGTACATGATATCGTGTTGACTCATTTCCATTGTCCCCGATGTCTCGGGCTTTTGCATATTTTCTTCAACAAAAAGTTGGTTAGCACATGAATGGAGTGCGCTTGGAAATAAGGTTGTGGCTTCCTGGCGGCAATGACAAGGGCATAAACAAGCTTCTCCATTTCAGGATATCTCGTCTCCATATCGAATAGCCTCTTGCTGACATAGTATACTGGTCACTGCACTCCCCCTTCTTCGCATACCAAAGCCGCACTGATAGCGGACTTTGACACTGACAAATACAATAGCAGTGGCTTACCTTGGATGGGTTTTGATAACAAAGGAGGTTACTTCAAATGTTTCTTTAGCTCCTGGAAGGCTTTCTTGCACTCCTCTGTCCACTTGAAACCTTTATTTCCCTTCAAGGTCTCAAAGAATGGTAAGCATATGTCTGTGGCTCGGGAAACAAACCTGCTGAGTGTGGCCACACACCCTTTCAAACTCTGCACCTACCTTATGCTAGTCAGAGTTTTCATATCTAGTAGAGCTTGAATCTTATCTAGGTTGGTTGTAACACTGCACTGATTTACAAGGAAACCCAAGAATTTTCCCAAGCTTACTCTGAAAGCACATTTTAGGGGATTAAGTTTCATTCTATATTTTCTGAGGATGTCGAACATTCCCTCTGGATGCTCAATATGGCTTTCAGCAACCTTTGATTTGACGAGCATGTCGTCAATGTACACCTCCATAGTTTTGCCAATTTGGTTGGCGAACATCTTGTTCACCAAGAGCTAGTAGGTCGCCCTAGCATTCTTCAAGCCAAACGGCATAACTTTGTAACAATAAATCCCACGGTCAATAATAAATAAGGTATGCTCTTCATCGAGCTGATACATCAGGACTTGGTTATATCCTGAGTACGTATCCATGAAGCTAAGTAGTGCATTTCCACCTGTCGCATCTACTAGTTGGTCAATCCATGAAAGCGGGAAGCTGTCTTTGGGATAGGCTTTATTTAAGTCTGTGAAGTCGACACAAGTCCGCCACTTGTTGTTCGACTTCTTAACCAGGACTGGGTTGGCGAGCCAATCTGGGTACTTTACTTCTCTAATGAAGTTGATGTTCAGGAGTCTTGAACATCAATTTCATCTTTAAGCGCTTTAGGACGCTCTAAATCCATAGACCTTCTCTTCTGTCTTATTGGCCGAGATTTTGGGTTGATGATCAACCTGTGGCACATTACTTTGGGACTAATCCCCACCATATCCATATGCACCCATGCGAACATGTCGAGGTTTTTATACAAAAACCCCCACTAGACTATTGGCCATTTCTTTGCTCAGGCTACTGTTGATATTCAATATGTGAGTCGGATCTTTCTCGCTAACACATATTTCTCGCAGCTCTTCTGTTAGCCCTATTGTGGGCTCTTTTCTATGGATGCGAGGATTTATGGTATCCTCGAGAGGTCCAAGGTGTGGTTTAGACTTAAGGTGTGGTTTAGACTTTGTAATAACCATTGTTCTCGGAAGTGGCCATTTTAGTGCAGCATTATGGCCCGGTTGTAACATTCCCGAGATTCTTTGTTCGCAGCTCTTGATCATCGCAACTCCCTTGGGAGTCGGGAACCTCATTGCTTGGCAGTGCACTGATGTGATTGCACTCAAATCATCCAAGATCAACCTTCCAAGCATGACGTTGTATGTAGTCGAGCAGTTTACCACTAAGAATTCAACCATTACTGTCCTAATTTTGGGCTTTGTCCCCAAAGTCACGGGAAGGCCAATCGTTCCCTTGGGGACCAGACCGTCCCAGGTGAATCCATAAAGTGGTAAAGGACATGCCCTCAAGTCCCTTTCTATGAACCTCATCTCTCAAAAGGCTCCTAAGAAGATGATGTTCACTGCATTTCCGTTATCGACCATCACCCTCAGTACTCTAGCATTGTCGATCTTAGCTGCAATTACAATTGCATCATGATGGTGGCGAGGGGATTCTTTGCATTCTTCAATAGTGAACCCTACCACCTCACTCTTATGTTTGGGCCGCTTTGGCGGCTTCTATTCACAGCTTATTACCCGAGGGACCGAATTTGTTTTGGCCTTGCGAGATATTGCTTGTAGGCGTGCCTTGATCTTCTTGCTTTGTCAGGCCCCCCGTAGATCATACCCACCAAGACATCATTGTTGGTGCTGGCTGAAGCTTGTTCGACCTGATTGTTTTGTTTGCCAGTATTTTTGCGAACTGGTGCCTCCTTAACAAATTCTTTTAGATGGCCCCTTCATATCAAGTCTTCGATGGCATCCTTCAAAGCCTGACATTGGTTGGTGTTGTGTCCAATGGTATCGGCAATATTTTTGTCGATCTCTTCTACCTAGAGCCCCTATCATTCTTTCTAGAGCGAGCAGCCTTTTCACCTCACGGGAGACTTCGTAGATGTGAGCTATGTCTTGCGTGAGGGAGATATATTTTGCATACCATAGGAAGGGTTGTCTATCCTCGCGGTTATCTATTTTTTTGGGGACCTATTTTGATCCCTATCATTGTGGTCTTGGCCCCTCCACTTATCTGATAGGCGATCTTGTCGCCTGTCTGGGGCTTTTCTTGGCGAGCTTCTGGCTAGGGCTGCTAGCGAGCTTTCTACTCACTGGTGCTTTGTAGTCATATGATAAAACTTTGTCAAGCTCATGTGATCTTTGCTTTGGAGCTCTTTCCACAGCTTCGTGTTTGGCCTAATGTCTGCAATTAGCAAAGTTTAGATTGACTCTTCGGGTGCATTTGCGACCTTTGCTTGCTTGTTCTGGAACCTTGTTAAATACGAGGTTAAAGTTTCATCTCTTTCTTGATGAATGTTGCTCAGGTAGCTGAGTGGCATTGCGAACTGTCTCCTCACTTAAAATTTATGCAAGTAAAGTGAGGAGAATTGTCACTACGATCTAATGTAGTTCACCCTGAGTCTCTTCTACCACCTCTTGGCATCCCCTACTAATGTGACCGCGAAACAACGACACTTCGCAAAGTCACAGACCTAGTGCAACTCCATCAGGTCATTGAAATTGTCGAGGTGGTCTCTAAGGTCTCCTCTCTTATCGAACTTGCTCTCTGGTGTCCTGAATCCTTGTGGAAGCGGGGTCTGGCGAACCTTCTCTATGAAAGGGGAACTCACTATTTCTTCCACCGCGCCGTTCTGGCAAGCTCTGAGATCGTCGAGCATTTTCTGCACACGATCTAAGTCTTCATTATGATTGCCTTGGCTGACTCTGTTCAGCCTTACCTTGAGCAAGTGAGTTCGCAAATTTGTCGCTTGTGAACCCCCTCCATTATGTGCATTGATGCGCAAAGTTAAGTCATGATGGTTTGGTTGATAAGTGTTATCATGCTCGTCAGTGTGTTGCTCATGACATCGGTTATAATCGGAACGTCGGTCATTGCCAGATTGGTGCATATTACTCGTCTCGCGAGCCTGCGAGGGTCTAGCTTGCTTTGAGCATGGGTTAAGATTGGCATACTAACGCTGGGGATATCGCCAAGTAGGTTAAGCATCTCGTGGGTGATCATTACCTCCACTTTCACCCACTGGTTGCTTCCCTAGCTGCCTCCCTAGATTAGTTTGCCCACGAGACTCACGTTGGTGAGTGGAGTGCACTATGTGACGTCGGGGGTGTTGGTCGCCTCTTGGCGCTGATGAGCCAAACTGGTCTCTTGCTGAATTCTGACCCGTTGGGGTGGTATCAATGAAACATGATTGGTCAAGGTTTGGGCAATTGGTTATTGATTTCTCAGCTCAGCCACGTTCTATTGCACCGCCTATGCAACCATTATTCTGATCATCTCCACCAATTGGCCATTTTTTAGGTTTGACGTCCCTATCCCCTAGTTATTCGTGGCATGTTGAGATGACGGCAATGGTGGTTGACGCCCGACGGTGTCTTGGTGCACCTCCTGATGGGTGATCTCCACATCGTCATGGTTTCTGGTGATGGTTTTTGATCTTGTACGCACCATCGTGGGCCTGAAGTGGTTAGATCGCTATGGCTGTTTGCCGGAATTTCTAAGATGTTGGCGGAAGCCCTCCTTCTAGCGCCAAAATATTGATACAAAAATCTACACCAACTCGAGTGATCCGATCAACTTTGGCGGGATCGAAACTGATGTGTGCGTGATTACGAGTAACCAACAATGAATGTAGTAAAGAAAATGGCAAAGTAAAGTGGTTTTGCGAGGTAAACTCTTGAGCCTACGTCCACTATTTTTTGTAATTGCTATGAGTGCTTACAATAGTAATTCTAGGAATAATTTCCAACCCCTCTCTCATTGTTTGATGGGGTTTACATACATAGTTTGTATAAAGGAAAGAGCGAAAATAAATGGATTATAATTGAATTGAAATGCAACCCCAGTATTCTCACGATTGGGCGCTATAATTGCACAAAGATTGTTGTCAATCTAATCCCTTCCAAGATATATGGGATTTGAAGTTATCGGAGAGTTGGTTGAATGATCGCACGGATTGTTCGCAACTAGCTTGTGCTGAGTCAAGTTGTAACTTGACGAGCTTAGGCTAGGTCGGACTATCGATGAATTCGAGCTGTTTTCGGGTCGACTATAATCTCATGATATTCCGAGCTTGATGAAAAAATCACAAACAACAATCCCAAAAAACTAAATTGGAGAAGGGTCTGGAAGAGCTTTCAGCATGTGATCATTTTCAACCCCTCCAGAATAGTCTATTAAATAATTTTCCCATCTATTTTGCGGGATAATTTGTGTGGAACTGACTACTGAGTCCTTTCTTCCAAAACTGTGCAGTCAAAAACAATTACTTGTAAAGTTTTAACTAAATTATTACATTCACCCCTGCAAGACCGCTAAATTATCAGTATCCAAGAATTTCAGAAAATTTCACAGTCCCCCTGAGCGATCAATTTAGTTTCTAGAAACGCCTAAAAAGTAGCAACCCCATCTATATATTATATATACGATTTTCATTTATTCAAATAAAAGAGGATCAAAAATCCAAAACCCTAGATAACAGCGATGGGAGTAGAGAAGCAAATTTTGACCCCCGGAACCGGCCCCAAACCAACTGCCGGCCAGAAGGTCACCGTTCACTGCACCGGTTATGGTTAGTCCTTACTGCTTGGTTGCTGAGAAACTGTAGTAGACTAAATTGATTTTGGGTTTTTGTTTACATTATTCATTTATATATTATTTGTTTTAGTATTACAATGGTGAGAATATTCGGCTATATCTTTTCCTTTATAATAGAAAATTTGGGATTTCGATAAGATTTGTCAAATGTAAGCTCAGTAGCCTTTCTTTGGGGCTTGTTGGCTTCAGCCATTCACTAATTCAACTGAATTAGAAGATATTATGTGCTTTATTGAGTGTTTTTGTTCAGTCTTTCTATGTTATCAAGTCGGAAAGATGGCTGTGCGTTTAAGTTAGAATTCATGTTTGTTACAAGTTTGATCGTTAATATAATGCACTAAACTATAGTTCCATTGAACCATATAATTTGATCGTTAAAGTTTGGCATGTTTTTTTATTTGTCAATTGACTGTATAAGGAATGTAGTGTTATATCCTAGACTGGCATAGGTATTTCCTAGCAAATTGCTATGAGTTTGGGTTAGCAGAAAGATTGCAAAGGGGTTATGTGAGGTAGAGAACTGCAACCTTTGTAAGAAATGATAGTGAAAGGACTGTTTTGAATAGTTAGTTTCCCTATCTTTTCTACACCTTATTAGTTTTCTGTGCTACAGGCAAAAATGGTGATCTCTCTCAAAAGTTCTGGAGGTGAGGATTTTTCCAGTACACTTTTACTACATTTGGAATGTCAGATCATCCTGGTTTGTCTTTGTCATTTGGATTACTTATATTCACCATTTTTTTTATTTCAGCACTAAGGATCCTGGGCAGCAGCCTTTTAGTTTCCAAATTGGCCAAGGTTCTGTTATAAAAGGTAACTCTATGGTATTCTTTGCCTACTTTTTTCTTGTCCATGGTAGAGTTAAATTTTCTCCAATAAAGGTTTAAAAATAATAACATGTCATTTTTTATAAATAAATGGCTGTTTTGTTGAAATTTTAGTATTATTCAAGAAAAATTACTTACAGTTGTCAGTATCTTTCTATAATATTAGCATTACAAATAGGACAAAGAAATTTAATATATGAAGAATATACTGGTAGTATTTGCTTTAATCATTCCCTTCAATTATGCTTTGCATTTGAATTTCTTGGTGGCATTAGATGAGATTGCTTTTTAGATGGGAGTTTGTTAGAAACCCCAAGCTTCTCCTGCAAAAGATCACTCACAAACAAGCACCTAGATCACTCTGAAACTCCAATAGTCAACAACCCAGAAATTCCAGTCACACCAGAACAATTGAATCACTTCAAAGCGGAGCCCTTTCAGTTTCATCACCCATTTTTGCTGGTCTTCACTCAATAGCCATTCATTTAGGAAGTGTAAACTCCTCTGGTCCGTTTTTATCACAAAGTGTCTGCCTAATAAATAGTGCCGTTATTTTTGGATTGCCATGACCATGGCCATAAGTTCCCTCTCATAGACGGACTTAAGTCTGGACTGCAACGACAACCCTTTACTCAAGAATGCCAATGGCCTGCCCTCTTGCATCAGAACAACCCTTAAACCATGTCTTGAAGCATCTGTCTCAATCACGAATTCCTTGGAAAAATTTGGCATTGCCAAAACTGGTATTTAAGTCATGATCTGCTTCAATTCTTCGAATGTCCTCTGTGCTTCACTGTTCCATATAAATGCGTCTTTCTTTAATAGTGTAGTCAGAGGAATCGCAATTTTACTGTACCCATTGACAAACTACTGATAAGACCCTGTCAAGCCAAGGCATCCTCGGAGAGCTCTTAAATCTTTTGGAACTGGCCACTGAAGAATATTGTCGATTTTTGAAGAGTCAACTGCTATTCCTTCCGACAATATAATGTGCCCCAGATACACGAGTTTTTTCTGCCCAAAGAAACATTTTTTGTGGTTGGCAACTAACTGATTCTCTTGAAGTGTCTGTAGGGTGATCTTTTGGTGTTGCACGTGCTCTTCCATGGTCTTATTGTACACGAGAATGTCATAAAAAAACACCAGAATAAATTTCCTCAAATACGGCCGAAAGATATCATTCATTAGAGCTTGGAAAGTTGTCGGAGTGTTGGTTAATCCAAAGGGCATGACTAGGAATTCATAATGCCCTTCATGTGTCCTAAAAGCCATCTCAGGGGTGTCTTCTTCTCTCACTCTAATGTGGTGGTACCTCGATTTCAAATCCAATTTGGAGAAGATTGTAGCCCCACCCAATTCATCAAATAACTCGTCCACCACAGGAATTGGGAATTTGTTTAGAACGGTCAATTTGTTTAAAGCTCGATAGTCAACAAAAACCTCCATCCTCCATCTTTCTTCTTGACAAGTAACACTAGACTAGAAAATGGGCTCACTCTCGGTTTGATAATGCCTGAAGCTAACATTTCTCTCACAATTCGCTCGATCTCATTTTTTTGGTAGTAAGGATAACGGTAAGGTCGGTTGTTTGGTGGTTGGGCATTGCGTAAGAGCCTAATGGTGTGTTCATGGTTCCTAGTGGGGGGTACTCCAACTAAAGGGTTAAATACCGACTAAAACTGCTCCAATACTTCAAGCAACCTACTGTCCATGTCATCCCCATCATCTGGCTGTTTTTGCAAAGAGTCGAATTCCACTAAATACCCCTGCCCTTCATTCTGTGTTGTCTTCAACATAGCTTTCAAGGATACCAATGTCTTGCTCAATGCTGAGTCACCACAGAGTTTCACAGTTTTGCCCTTATCCTTGAATTTCATTACTTGGGTCTTCCAATCTATAGTTGTTTCCCCCAGTGTCTCTAACCAGGCCATTCCTAACACCACATCCGAGCTATTCATGTCGAATGGGAAAAAATCCAACAGAACCGAGACTCCTTGAAGATCAATACAAACTCCTCGGCACTCACCCTCACTTCTCACCCAATAACCATTCCCTACTCTTACTCCAAATGACTGCGTTCTAGTGACAGGTACCTTTAATTTCTCAACAATCCCCCTACTAATAAAATTATGAGACGCCCCACTATCAATCAAAACAATTAATTCTGTATCTTGAATCTTACCCTTTAATTTCATGGTTCGTGGTCCATTAATTCCCACCACAGAGTTGAGTGACAGTTCGATGTCATTCTGGGTAGCCTCCTGGGACTCTTCGTTTGTGTCTCCCACCCTAATAGGCTCGGTTTCTTCCTCCTCTTCATCCACAAGGATGACTTGAAACTGTCTTTCTCCACAACGGTGACCAGGAAAAAACTTTGCATCACACCTTCTCTTTTCTTCTGAATCTCATTCTCAGTCATGTGTTTAAATGGAAACTCTCTTCGAATAGAAGGACTCTGCTCTAAGGGTTGATTCATCGTGGAGCTGCTACCTCTTTGACTATTGGTTGGATTAACACTTGGAAGTTGTTTTTGTTGATCATGAGGGATGCTTGTTTTGGGTGTGTTTGCGAACGAGGGCTGGTAGTTTTGTGATCGAAACCCATTGTTATTGAATCCTAATTGACGACTTGACCCGACCCGACCCAAGCCCAAAAGAACTAAAGCTTTTATTTATCCCATTAAGCCCACTAGCTCGTGAACACTTATTCAACCCACTCTTAAGCTCATCGAAAGCCTAATTCTTTTCTTCGATCTTTTGGGCTAACTCTATCAGTTGGACTAAAGTTTCAGGCTTGCTCAGTCTCACCTTAGCTTTGATCCCGGGCTTAAGCCCATTAATAAAGGCAGCCCATAAAATGTCTTCCCTAACCTCACGCAATGGAGTAAAGGTTGCCTCAAACTTTCGACGATACTTCTTAACAGTTCCCGTTTGTTTGATCGCCATTAGAGCTTCATAAGGACCTTCCTCTTGAGATCCACTGAACCTATGGATAAGGGAGAGTTTGAAAGTGGCCCAAGAGTTCACCGGAGCTCGAACTTCCATCCATTGAAACCAATTCACCGCTTCGCCTTCCATGCACACCGCAATCGTGTTTAGTCGCTCCTTCTCCTTTGTGATTCGATACACCCTAAAGTACCTCTCGATCCTAAATAGCCAACCATACAGATCATCTCCTGAAAAAAGCAATACATCTAGTTTTCGGGTACCATGCTCTGGTCTTCCTTGTCCCTGATTATCTTGATTGTCATTCCCCCCCTATTTGGTTCGTCCCCACCATGTAATTCAGTCGACCTACTCCCTTCTCCTCTTCTAGCTTCTCCATCTTTCCGTCTCATCCACGCCTGCAGCTCCACTAGACAATCTCTAATCGTACCCAATTCTCTCTCAATATTATCAACCCTATTCTCCATTCTAGTCCCAACCATAACCTTGCTCTGATACCACTTTGTTAGAAACCCTAAGCTTCTCTTGCAAAAGATCACTCACAAACAACCTTCTGAAACTCTAATAGTCAACAACCTAGAAATTTCAGTCACACCAGAACAGTTTAATTACTTCAAAACAATTGAAGAACACAAGCGATACTGAATAACCTCAATTTATATATTGAATAGAACCTCTGTGACAACGCTACTTTAATAACAGTTCATCTACAACTACAATTCAGCATAATAGAAGATAAACATAAACCAAACCATTTAAGATGAATTTGCTAAGAACAAAGAAACCCGCTGGACTTCGAGGGCCAGCACCTCCCCAACCCCAACCCCTTTCCCTTTTTACTATTTTCCAATCTTCCCAGACAGATCCTTTACATTCTCTTTTATTCTTCGTACTCTCGTACTATAACCGAATTCAGCTCCCCATCAATCATTACTTGCCACTTGTCACTCTCTCATAAACCTAATACCACCCACACACTCACACATACAGCCTGATAATTAGTCCCTCATCCCCTTTTTTACACCTTTATTTTTCCTCCCATACACTAATGTGTTGTTGGTCTCATCAGAGTTTTAACTGCATATACCATTCTTCTGATTATTTTCTCAAGCGAGAAAGCAGTTTCTTGTGAACTTTACCTTTTTGACCTGAGAAATTTATCTTCCTATAGATCCAACTATTTTGTTTGTACTGAAAAAACCCTGCATGTTGTCCTCAATGACATTTTAGGGGATGACAAATATTTATGTACTCCACTTTGCTTTTAATACATATATTGGAAACTTTTTCGTACACAAGTTGCATTTCAGTATTTTTGTATACTCATCAACTTTTATGATGATTTTGTCAACTTCTTCCAACAGTTTCTTGACATTTGAATTGGCACTAAAATAGTGTTTTTTAGAATATTCTAATTTATATTTAATGGGGGCGCTATAGTCATGCAATTATTTTTTCAGACAGGGATATCTCCTGTTTTCAAGATATCCCAAGTTAAGAATCGTGCTTTTCTAAGATGGTCATGACTTTCACTTTTCTTTTCTATTCATATATTTTAGACTAAATAACCATTGCTGATATGATATTCTTCAAACTAACTTGGTGAACTGTTTGAATGTGTTTGATTAATTTGTAGGATGGGATGAAGGTGTGTTGGGAATGCAAGTGGGAGAGGTTGCTCGTCTGCGGGTACTTTTCCATTCTATTAACCATTTTTCACTTTTCTTCTATACCACTTTCTCTGTTAATTATGCTTTGGTTTGATACATGAATATAATGGCTGTGATTTTAAACACTAATAAAAATATACGGAGCAATACTTATGACAATGCAGTATCATATTACAGTTTTTGATGCTTGGCGATACCTAGGGAAATATTTGGCGTGTTTTTCTTTTTTTTTTTTTTCAGTAGATAACTGTACTTGATCCTTCTATATTTTGTTGAGGACCCTGGTCATTAAATATAGTTGTTTCATTAACTGTTTGGATTTTCATTTTCATTTTGGTTTTGAATTTATTTGCATCATGACATATTTGTCAAATTATTGTTGCTAAACCAAAGCCTAAATTTTGCAAGGTGTGTAGCTCTCTCTTACAAATTGAGTGTTTGATACCCATACATAGCTGGTACTTCCCAAACCCATCACCAGAATTCATATATCTGGACCTTTTGCCTAATAATTATCAGATGGCTACATAATTCTTCAATGATATTACAACTGTAGTATGCTTGCAAACAGACATAAATTTTTTTATTCATGGCCCTGATTTTCATCAGTAGTAACTCCGTCTTTGCTTCAACAGTGTCCCTTTTTTATTTTTTCTTCCAATGCTAGTGTCTTTTCTGCTTCCAATATATTTCCTGGACTATGTTCTCAATCATGGAATCTACTTATTGCTAGATAATTTCAATAATATTTTGAATTTGTTGCCATGCTCATTAGCATTTGTTTTGCTTTCAGAAATAGTTATCTAGTTGTAAAAGCTGTTATGTGTTGGCGTAGCTTGTATTCTTCTCTGATATCTGCTGATCCCCTTCTATGAATTTGCAGTGTTCTCCAGATTATGCTTATGGTGCTGGTGGATTTCCAGCATGGGGAATTCAACCTAATTCAGTCCTGGAGTTTGAGATTGAAGTCTTAAGCCTACAGTGACTACGTGATAGGAGTTGAAAACAGGCTACAGAACTATCTGGATAATTTGAATGACTTGCATCATCATAGACATTTCTAGATGTTATCGTTATACTTTTGATGAATATGATATGGGATTGATGAATCTATCTGCCTTATTTACTCTTCATTTAATATAATCTGTGCAACTTTTAGCAATAACCTGAATTTTTTATTCTTTCCTCTGGTCCTGTTATTTGATATTTACTTTACCTATTGGGGAGTTGTCTTGCATTTCAGACTGCATGTAGTCCTTCCAGGAAAATCATACTGGTAGATGTGTCTCATAAATCCATATTTATAAACAAAAGACACTTTCAAAGCCTTTAAAATATTCTTTAAAGGAATTAAACCTTGACTTCAAGACAGTTACGGGGTCAAAATAATTCTTTATAATAGATTAAGTTAAAACAAAACTCCTAATTCTGATTTGAGCTAGCTTAATCCCAAATTTGTTATCTAAGATTGAAAATAAAAGTAGGTCAAAATGACTCTTTTGGTAAAAGATCAGACTTATCAATAAAAATGAAACTCCGAATTTGTCATTTGTCAACTTATGCTTTGTATCGTTCAATTTGAATCAACTAGGCTAGAGTCACACTTTTGTGACTTTTTGGACCAATTGCTACTTACTGGTTACAAGGGTCTTCAGTCAATAGAATCCAGCTCAATTAGTCAATTATTCCATGACAAATGAGAATACCCAATATGTGACCCATAGCTATAAATTAAAAGAGGGGCGTCCCACCAATTTTGAATACCACAAATATTGCTCATAGTCACAATTCAACAGCTTAACCAATATCTAGTGAACATGGAGTCAATTTCAGGGCTAAAACCGCGTCAACATGCAAGAACTTTCTCTTTATAATTATTCCTTCCTTTGTTGTCTCTTGACTACTCTTCCCGAATATAAATACATACAATTCTCTTCATTTTCCCAACACAAACCACTTCTCAACTAAGCTGATTTTCTCCAAACTCTTTGCTTTCTAAACCTACATAAAATCTAACTTCAAGGTTTATAAATAATGTAGAACGTCTAGCGGATGAATTCATAGAGTGGGTTGAGCGTTAGAAGCTCATACATAAAGCCCAAAGTTTCTAAATGAGTATTTCTCATTCAAACGTTCATTACTGTTGATCCGGAGGAGTTACCAGACCCGTAAGATATTGACGGAAATCTCTTTTCCAACCCGACGATGTGGCAAACCGCTTTAGCTAGTTGGAGGTCATTTTCAAGGTCAAATTCCACCGTTTTGGCATGTTTCAGGTTGTTTGCGCTTTTTTTCCTGTTTTATTTTGAGTTTTCTTGTTTTAATTAATTTAGATTTTGTTTCCTTTTGTTATTAGGAGTCTTATTAAGGTTGGTTGTCACCCTATATAAACTTATTTTTTGTTTTGGATGTTATGAAATGAATTATTTAAATTTTATCTCAGACTTTGAGGCTTAAGTTTCTGGATTGAGACTTGTTTATCAACCCTAAAGGTATAGTCAAGTGCTAGCCTTGGTTTTTTTCGCTAACTCGCTGTGTCAGTTGGTATCGGAGCAGGCAAAATTCGTTTAATCTAATGGCAGCTGATGAAGTTGTAGGTGGCGGCAGCTCTCATGGCGAATATCAGGGAGTTGAGACCTCACAAGGGGTGGCGTTGAGAGCTTTGGAGCAACGAATGGATCTCAGATTCCAGCGTTTGGAATGACGCTTTGAAGAAATTGCATATCAACTTGATGCTTTGAGCGTAGATGCCAACTGAAATAGGAATGACGAAAGGCAACGTACCAAGGATGACACAGCTCACGGAAGGCCTACTGGCAGACCTGTTTTTGCAAATAGACATAGACAACAAGTTTACGTGGAAGAGTCAGACGAAGAAGATGATTATTATGTAGAATCTGAAAGGAGCGTTGGGTATGGCAGAAATCAGTATGGTGACAGAGAACTCAACAAATTCAGATTGACGATAGATATCTCTTGCGTTAAGGGAAATTTAGATATTGAGGAATTTTTAGATTGGATGGCAGAAGTAGATAGGTTTTTTGAATATATGGAGATCCTAGAGGGGAGAAAGGTGAAACTGGTTGCATTTAGATTAAAGGGAGGAGCTTCTGCCTGGTGGAAAAGATTATAGGCCAAAAGATTTTGTAAGGGGAAAGCACCAGTTAGAACATGTTATAGAATGAAACAATTGTTACAAAGGGATTTTCTTCCTCCTAATTATGAACAGATCTTGTTCCAACAGTACCAGAGATGTCATCAAGGACAAAAATCTGTGCATGATTATACCGCAGAGTTTATGAGGTTGGCAGAAAGGAATGACTTGAGGGAGATTGAAGGCCAGCAGGTTGCTAGATATTTGGAGGGTTTGAAAGCAGTTGTCAAAGACAAAATAGGGGTGCAAGTAATGTGAAATTTAGCAGAGGCACGAAACTTTGCATTAAAGGTTGAATTGTTGTTGCAAGAGAAGAGTAGACCAGATTATTCACGCAAGAATTATAGCAGGGAGAATTGTAGAACAAATAATGAAAAGAATAAGGCAAGTTAGGATGTTCCTACATGCAATGATCGGTTTAGAAAAGAAAGGGCGGTTGGAAAACAGAAGATAATAGATGCGAAGGAAAGGTATAAAGCTGAAAATCCCTATGCGAAATCGATCCTTGGGAAGTGTTTCAAATGTAACCAACCTAGTCATAGATCGAGCGACTGTCCTCTTAGAAAAGTTGTCCATGTTGTGGAACGAGGAGAAGAGGATGATGAAGTTTATTGTGGTCCAGATGGGGATGATGATGATGAAGATGATGGTTAGAACTATGTGGTAAGGAGACTGATCTTGACGTCAAAACAAGAGAACAACACCTAGTGACATCAATTATTTCAAACCAGGTGCACTATCACTAAACTTTTATTTGATGTGATTATTGACAGTGGTGGTTGTGAAAATATTATTAGCAAAGATGTTGTTGAGAAATTCGGTCTGCAAACTAAGAAGCACCCCAACGCATACACTATCGGGTGGATTAAGGCAGCAGGGAAAATTCAAGTAACAGAACGGTGGCAATATAGGGATGAAGTGTATTTTGATGTTATAGATATGGATGCTTGCAATTTATTATTTGGTATACCATGACAATTCGATGTGGCAACACAACATGATGAGAGAGAAAATACCTATGAGTTGGAGAAAGATAGCGTCAAATTCACCTTGCTGCCAATGAAAAAGAGTTCTAAAACTAAAGCTTCTAAAGTGGAAGGGCGAACCTTCTTTATTGTTACACATTCTAGATTAGAGTTAGAAGTTGCTTTCAAAGCATCAAAGGTGATGCATACATTGATTGTGAAGCAAGTATTGACCACTGAAGAGGAGTTGAACATAGAAGAGTACCCAGAAGCAGTCAAGCCATTGTTAGAAGAATTTAGTGAGGTGATTTCAGAGGATTTACCTGATGGTTTTACCACCTATAAGGGATATTCAACACCATATTGATCTAATTCCTGGAGCTAGTTTGTCGAACCTACCTCATTATAGGATAAGTCCAAAGGAGAGCAAGATTTTGAAGGAAAAGGTGAAGGAACTACTGACAAAGGGGTACATCCAAGAGGAGCATGAGTCCATGTGCAGTTCCTGCCTTATTAACGCCAAAGATAGATGGGAGTTGGAGGATGTGTGTGGATAGGAGGGCCATCAATAAAATTACTATAGGGTACAAGTTTTCGATTCCTAGGCTGAATGACATGCTTGATAGGTTACATGGGGCACAAGTGTTTATGAAGATTGATTTATGGAGTGGATACCACCAAATTCGAATTAGACTAGGGGACGAGTGGAAAACAACTTTTAAGACAAATGAGGGCTTGCATAAGTGGCTTGTGATGCCATTTGGGTTGACGAATGTGCCAAGTACTTTTATGAGAGTAATGAATCAGGTACTGAAACCTTTTATCGGAAAGTTTGTAGTTGTTTGTTTTGACAATATTCTTATTTATAGTTAAGCAGATGAAGAGCACATTCAACACTTGCACAAGGTACTAACAGTTTTGCAGAAAAACAAGTTGTACGTGAACCTGAAGAAGTGCAGTTTTATGAAAAATAAGTTGTTGTTCCTAGGCTATATTGTTGGGGCAGATGGTATTCAAGTGGATGAAGAGAAGATTCAAGCAATTAGGGAGTGGCCTACCCCAAAAACAGTAAAGGATGTCCAAAGTTTCCATAGGTTGCAACCTTCTACAGGCATTTTATCAAAAATTTCAGTAGTATCATAGCACCTATTACAGAATGTCTGAAGAAAGGGAAGTTCTATTGGAGTGAGGAAGTTGAAACTAGCTTTGCTGTGTTAAAGGAGAAATTATGCACTGCCTAATTTTGAGGCCTTGTTCGAAGTTGAGTGTGACGCTAGTGGTGTGAGAATAGGAGATTTCCTTTCACAAAATAAGAGGCAAGTAGCTTATTTCAGTGAGAAACTTAATGATACGAGGCGTAAATGGACTACGTATGATAAGGAGTTTTATTCTGTTGTGTGTGCTTTGAAGACTTGGGAGCACTATTTAGTGGGGCATGAGTTTGTTTAGTACTCTTACCATGAAGCCTTGAAGTATTTAAATAGTAAAAAGCGAACTAGTAGAGACATGCATGCCAAGTGGACTCAGTTTCTACAGAAATTTCCTTTCAAGCTAAGACAAAAAGCATGAATACATAATAAAGTTGCAGATGCATTGAGTAGATGTGCTGATTTATTGGTAACCATGAGACAGGAAGTTGTGGGGTTTGAGACAGTGAAGGAACTGTATGAAACGGATGAAGATTTTCTAAAAATATGGGAGCAGTGTGTTACAAACCAACCTGCTGAAGATTTCCACATTCATTACAGGTTTCTCATGCGAGGCAACTAGCTTTGCATCCCTAAAATTTCCTTGAAAGAGAAGCTTATTCGAGATTTGCATGGTGGAGGTCTTGCTGGTCACCTAGGGCGTGACAAAATGCTTACTGTTGATGATATATATATTATTGGCCACATTTGAGGAGAGACGTGACAAGGTTTGTGCAGCAATGCTACATATGCCAAATTGCCAAGGGGCAGTCCCAAAACATTGGTTTGTATATGCCTTTACCCATTCCAGAAAATATTTGGGAGGATTTATCTATGGATTTTGTGCTTGGATTGCCTC